CATTTGGTCCCATCACTCCATGCCAAATAGATAGGGAAACAGTGGAAACAGTGGCTGACTTTAGTTTTTTGGGTTCCAAAATGACTGCAGATGGTGATTGCAGCCATGAAATTAGAATATGCTTGCAACTTGTAAGGAAAGTTATGATTCTAAGATCAAAACTACAATGAGGTATCAGCTCACACTGGTCATGATGGTCATCATCAAAAACAATCTACAAACAATAAGTGCTGCATGTGTGTGGAGCAAAAGGAACCCTCATGCACTGTTTTGGTTTCCCTGATGGCTCAGATGGTACAAAATTCTGCCTGCAGTCCTCACAACCCAGGTTTGATCCCTGTCTAGGGCAGATCCTCTGGAGAAGGGAATGGCAACCCACTGCAGTTGGTAGGAATGTTAACTGATGCAGCCACTATGGAGAATGGTATGGAGGTTCCTTAAAAAACTAAAAACAGAGTTACCTTATGACCCAGAAAGCACACTACTGGGCATATTCCCTGAGAAATCAATAATCGTCATTGTATCACTATTTACAATCGCCAGGACTTTGATGCAGCCTAAATGTTCATCACTCGATGAATGGATAAAGAAGACATGGTATATATATACAATGGAATACTCTGTTCAGTTCAGTCACTGTAGTGACCGACTCTTTGTGACCCCATTGACTGCATGCAGCATGCCACGCTTCCCTGTCCATCAACTCCCAGAGCTTGCTCAAACCCAAACTCATGTCCATTGATTTGGTGATGACATGCAACCATCTCACCCTCTGTTGTCGCCTTCTCTTCTTGCCTTCAATCCTTCCCAGCATCAGAGTCTTTTACAATGAGTCAGTTCTTCACATCACGTGGTCAAAATATTGGAGTTTCACCTTCAGCATCAGTGCTTGCAAGGAATATTCAGGACTTACTTCTTTTAGGATAGACTGGTTTGATCTCCTTGTAATATGAGGGACCCTCAAGAGTCTTCTAAAACACCACAGTTCATAGGCATCAACTCTTTGGTGTTCAGCTTTCTTTATCATCCAACTCTCACATCCATACATAACTGCTGGAAAAACCATAGCTTTGACTAGATGGACCTTTGTTGGCAAAGTAATGTCTCTGCTTTTTAATACGCTGTCTAGGCTGGTCATAACTTTCCTTCCAAAGAGTAAGTGTCTTTCAATTTCATGGCTACAATCACAATCTGCAGTGATTTTAGAGCCCCCTAAAATAAAGCCTCTCACTGTTTCCATTGTTTCCCCATCTATTTGCTATGAAGTGATGGGACCACATGCCAAGATCTTCATTTTCTGAAAGTTGAGTCTTAAGCCAGATTTTTCACTCTCCTCTCTCACTTTCATCAAGAGGCTCTTTAGTTCCTTTTCACTTTCTGTCATAAGGGTGGTGTCATCTGCATATCTGAGGTCATTGATATTTCTCCCTGCAATTTTGATTCCAGCCTGGTATTTCGCATGATGTACTCTGCATAGAAGTTAAATAAGCAGTATACAGCCTTGACATACTCCTTTCCTACTTTGGAACCAGTCTGTTTTTCCATGTCTGGTTATAACTGTAGCTTTTTGACCTACATACAGATATTACTCAACTATAAAAATGATTGAAATTAGGTCATTTGTAGAGACATGAATAGATCCAGAGTCTATCTCACAGAGTGAAGTCAGAAAGAGAAAAGCAGATATCATATATTAATGTATATATGTGAAATCTAGAAAAATGGAACAGATGAACTTATTTGCAGCACAGAAATAGAGATGCAGACATAGAGAAAGGACATGTGGATGCAGAGTGGGTGGGTAAGAGGGGGTGGAATGATTTGGGAAATTAGGATTGACATACATATACTACCTTGTGTAAAATGATTAGTGGGAACCTGCCAGATAACCCAGGGAGCTCAGCTCACTGCTCCCAATATGGGTGAAATGAGGTGGGGGGTGATGAGAGGAAAATCCAAGAGGGAGGTGAAATAGGTATGCAAATAACTGCTTCGCTTCATTTTCTAGAAGATTCTAATACAGTGTCATAAAATAACCCCAATAAAAAATAAAGTAAAAATAAAATGGATAACCAACAAAGACCTAGTGTATAGAACATGGAATTCTGCTCAGTAATCATGCAACATCCTAAATGGGGAAAGAATTTGAGTAAGAATTGATACATGTATATGTAGAAGTGAATGGCTTTGCTGTATGCCTGAAATTAACACGTTGTTAACCAACTATACTCCAACATACAAAAAAAGTTAAAGAATAGTTTGGTTAAGAATATATCCTTTTGCACAGCTTACTTGATTAGTAAGCTAAACATTAGAAAAAAACTTGCTTAGCAATAGTGACTTTGTAAATCTAAATAAACACTGTAAACCTCAATGTTCTTCAAAGTTGGTGTCAAAACAGAGAAGTAATTTCAGACGAGGAAAAATATTTAAGGCTCTGAGGTTAATGAGTTGTTGGAGTAAGAAGAGCAAATAGTACACATAGAGAGCAGGCAAAACTTTGCCTAGTAAGGATCCTTTAAATTTCCCATTCTTCTGTACTACCCATGTTTTCAGAGCTACTATAATGTCATGCGGAGAAAGCAATGGCAACCCACTCCAGTACTCTTGCCTGGAAAATCCCATGAATGGAGGAGCCTGGTAGGCTGCAGTCCATGGGGTCGCGAAGAGTCGGACACGACTGAGCGACTTCACTTTCACTTTTCACTTTTATGCATTGGAGAAGGAAATGGCAACCCACTCCAGTGTTCTTGCCTGGAGAATCCCAGGGACGGTGGAGCCTGGTGGGCTACCAACTATGGGGTCGCACAGAGTCAGACACGAATGAAGTGACTTAGCATGTAGTACAGCATAGCGTAATGTCATGCAGAATGTTCCGCTACATCCCAAAAGTCCTTTATCTGCAGTATCACATTAAACATAAGGTTAAATTAGAAAAGAAAAAGCACAACAAGAAAATGAAGGGACAAAGGAGTGCAACAGTCTTCGTGGTTGCTGTGCTTGTTACGTCTGTGTCACTTCCCTACTGGAGCAAGCATGGTCGTGAGGCAAGATGTTGATGGTGATGATGGAGACAATGATGATCTGCGGTCTTCCCAGTGCCATTTCTGTGCCCCAACATGTGGAAATTAAAGTATACACAATCATGTAACTTTTATGCCTCAGATATTTTGCAGTGTAACACTATTTTCCCCATTTCAGTATAGGGACTTTAATTCTGAGGAGTTAAATAATTTTGCACTCAAATTAGTCAAGCAATAATTACCTTGGATTCTAAACTATATAGCAATAATCTTTTTTAAAAAGAGCTTTCTTTCTTTTTTAAACAGTGTATTTATTTATTAATTTATTTTGGCAATGCTGGGCCTTCATTGCTACATGGGCTTTGCTCTAGTTGCCATGAGTCGGACTGCTATCTAGTTGTGGTGTGTGGACTTCACACTGAACTGACTTCTCTTGTTGTGGAGCACAGGCTCTAGGGTGCTTGGATTCAGTAGTTTGCAGCATGTGGGCACAGGAGTTGCAGCTTCTGGGCTCTAGAGCACAGGCTCGATAGTTGTGTCTCTTGGGCTTAGTTGCTCCACGGAACGTGGGATCTTCCCAGACCAGGGACCGAACCACGTCTCCTGCATTGGCAGGTGGATTCTTTACCACTGACCCATCAGGGAAGATCAGAAAGGATCTCTGATATTACTCAAATTCAGACAACACTGATTGTGGAAGCTGGAACTTTAGGATCAAAGAAGGAAAATAATAAACCCAAACACAATATGCTTTTGCTATAAGCGCTTTTAATAGAAAGAAACATTGTTACCATCACAAAAGAGAATTGTAGCTTATTCAGTTGTGCAGAACAAGTAATAATTTTCTAGTTGGTAGAAACCCCTGCCCAGGTGACAGACAGACACAGAAGACAGGAAGAGGATCTTCTGATGGTGGCCAGGAGGAGAGCTGCTGCTCTTCCATCTGAAGCACTGTGTTTTCTCAGCTGTCTTCCCAGAGGCAAGTGGTGTAGCAGCCTCAGGAAGGAAGCCTCTGACTGTCAGGAGTCCCCACAGGCATACTGCAGGCTGAAGGATGGAGAAACTTCTTTTGTATTCATGACAGGCTTCAGAGAAGATGAAGGTGGAGCTGTGGAGCTGATGAGTCAGCTGCAATATGGTCAGGGAAACAGGGGTGGTGGTGATGGTGGTGATGATGGAGACAGTGATGACCTGCTATCTTCCAAGTGCTATTTATGAGTCTGGTATGTGTCAACTAAATTATACACATTCATTGAATATTGATTCTTCAGAAGTTTGAAATGAAAATACAATTTTCCCTTCATTTTACTAAAGGGACTGAAAACCTAGAGAGGTAAATATTTTGATCCTCAAACAATCTAGTGATAATTAAGCAAATAACATGTAATTGAAATTATGTAGAAGTATTCCGTGATAAGAATCAAAATATAGACAACGCTGATTGTGAGAGTTTGAAACTTGGCATCAAAGGATAGAAACAAAACTTGATGATGGTATGGTATTATACTAAAAACAGTTTTAAAAGAAAGGAAACATTTTTTTCATCACACACAAAAAACTGTACTTTATTCATGAAGACGAAGATAAGCTACAGTTGGCCAGCTGGTAGAAACCACTGCCCAGGTGACAGACAGACCCAAGGGAGGGAGAGAATCCTCTGATGGTGCCCGGGAGAAAAGCTGCTGCTCTTCCAGCTGAAGCTCCGTGGTGCTTTCCCAGCTGTCCTCCCAGAGGAGAGCAGAACAGCAGCCTCAGGAAGGAAACCTCTGGCTGTCAGGTATCACCACAGGCATACTGCAGGCTGAAGGATGGAGAAGCTTCTTCTATATCCATGATAGGCTAAAAAGGGAAGATGAAGGTGGAGCTGTGGAGCCAGGTGAGTCAGTTGTCCTCATCCTTTCCTGACCCAGATACAAGCTGATGCTTCTACTTGCTTTTGGGTGGGCACTTCTGCTGGCATTGTTGGGGAGGTGGCACAGGTGGGCATTTCTGCTGGCACTTTGGAGGTGGGCATGGCTCAGGGCACTTCGGAGGTGGGCAAGGCTCAGGGCACTTGGGAGTGCACACTACTGGAGGTGGCTGGCAGGGCTGCTTGCACTGCTGCTGCTGATAAGACATCTTTTTGGAGTCTTAGAATCTGAAAGAAATTACATGAGAGTGTTCACAAGAAGGAACTGTTACCTGGAGAAAAGTCTGAGCTTGTTTAATAACATAGAATAGAATCTGTGCAGTGTTTAAGAATGTCATTTGAACTCTTTAATCCCTTCCAATGAACTTCTGGCCTCTCTCTCCCTCTTTAACAAATTGTATTATTGGCTCAGAGAAAATCATTTTACATACCACTTTTCAAAAAAAATTTTTTTCAAAAAACCTTTCAATGTTTTTTCTGTTCTTCTTTTTTTTTTTCCTGAAAACAGCATCTTCAAGAAAGGCTATCATAAGTTCCAAAATCCTGGATAAGCTCACAACCAATTCTCATCATCATTATCTATCATGAGATCCCAGAAGTATGACTTGTGTATAGAGCAAATGGCCACCAGGAAGGATACAAGGGCCCCACACCTTCTAAGATAAATGACTCTTAAATCACAGCAGAAGGACACAGGAAAGATACAGAAAAAGGAAAAATACTTCTTTCCTTGTCACAGATTTTGTTACAATCTCTTCAATAAAGTAATTCAAACTCTGTCCCAGAAACTTAATAAAAACTGTATACCACTGTTTTCAAATTTCAAGCTTCCATCCACTAAGGAACATTAAAGTCATGACAATAACTTTGGACACACCAAATTTGCTTAGCCAGAATTAATTCATAAGTAGAGAGCCCAAGAATAGAGCTGAACTGAAGGATCAGACTCACCAGGTTCTCCAAAACCTATCCGGACTCAAGTAGCAGGAGGATGGCAGTGATGCAGCAGAGAACCTCTTTATAGGGACTCGCTGCCCCACCCAGCAGGAAGCAGAGCTGTCACACAGGCCTGGTTCAGTCATTTCCCAACCAAAATGCAAATCCGTCCAGAAGTGGCTTGACGGGGACTCCAGAAAGAGGAAATGTCCTGCTCCAGGATCTCCTCCCTGGATTATCTTCCCATGATGCACAGCATCTCTGTCTTAAGATCTCAGTTTCAGGGGTTTATGGCAGTGGGAGGATTTGGGAGGTTCTTTAACTTGGAGTCAAAGCCTGCCTTTCTTGATTGGAAAAGATTCCTCCTTGATACCTTTCATCTTCTATGAATTATATAAGTGCCTGTCTTGTCCCACTTGAACTGGTTGCCATTTTGGTGTACATACTGAGTTGAAAAGAGCCTGGCTATCTAGTAATACCTTTCTCTTTACCTCAAGTCCTTCTTATAATGTTTTCCCTTTGATCCATGACCTGCTAATCTGTCTCCTTTCTTCTTCCAAAATGGACCGAGGGCAGGTTGCAGATCATCTCTCCAGCCTTCCCATCATAATACTTAGACATGTTCAGTCAAGTGGTGCCCTCTAGGATCCTCCTTTCACTGCTTTTCTCCCTCAGATAAAAGACATCAAGCTCATTCTTGCAGCCTTTAGAAATCTGTTTCTCCTTGGGTCCCAGGGAATTCACTAAGAGTTTAGCATCATCTACTGTAATTCAGGTGTTGCCGCAGCCCAGACTCTAGACCAATAACAGAAAGCAAGCTTTTTGCACATAACTCTCCAACATGTCGTGCCGTCTACTCCTATATAATTTCTCCCAACTGTCCTCTTTGTACTTTGTCACTCTATGAAAGAAGTTCAGAGCATTGTTCAAATTTTCTGGCGTCCTTCCCCTTTGAAATATTGAAAGAACCAATCTGGTAAGTAATGCCATAAAACAACTATTTTTTAGTGAAAGTTGAAATCATTATGAGCCATTCAGTCATTGAAGTTAATTCCCATTCATATACAACTTCTCAAGTCATTAATAAGAATTTCACTGTAATTTAAACCAATTTTTCAGATTTACCATACTGGTTACATGGAATATATGTTAAATAAACCTCTTTCCTGGTCACTTCCTTCATATACTTTGTCAGTGTGCCAGAAAGAATCATAGTTAATTTATGAGTCATCTTGACTGCTACAGGGTGCCCAGATAATTGGTCAAATATTATTCTATGTGTTTCTCTAAGGATGTTTTTGAATGAGATGATCTTCCCTGGTCACTCAGTGGTAAAGTGTCTGCCTAAGAAGGAGGATATGCCAGGTAGATCACTGGATCAGGAAAACCCCTTGGGTAAGGAAATGGCAACCCATTCCAGTATCTTTGCCTGGAGAATCACACAGAGAGAGCAGCCTGGCTGGCTACATTCTGTGGGGTCACAAAGAGTTGGACACAACTTAGTGACAGGCAAAACTTTTCAAAATATAAACCAGAGGTCTGGGTAAAGGAGGTTGCCCTCTATAAGGTGGGTAGTCCTTCATCCATTGATAGCCTGAGTAGAGCAAAAATCTGGGTCTTTCTTGGGTAAGAGATAATCCTCTTGCCTGATGGCCTTCCACAGGTTTTCAGTTGCACAGAGTTTGAATTTGTCAGCTTTTATAATCTCATTCTCTCTCTTTGCTGTTTCTCTCTGTGTCTGTCACTCTCTCATATAAAATATATGTATAGCATGCATTATATTATAATTTAAAAATTTTCTTCTGCCATTTCATGTACATCATTTCCTATGTTCAATCAAGTTAAAAATTCAAGAAGTTTGTGTAAAGTGCTTAAAGTAAAAATATAAATATTACATGATACATGTGAAGTGTAATTATGAAAAATATAATGAAGTTTTAGAGAATAACTGAAGTTCAAGAAAGAATGCCCTAGCATGTTCTCCAGCCCTGGCATAATATTTCATTTATGCCTTTTCAGAGATTTAGCTCTCGATAATTCTTTTACAGTTCCTTTGTTCAGCTGGAGCTGAACTATTGTCTTTTCTGTACTATACTCTTGGGCACTGAAGATTTTCATAATAGGCTATGGGTGGAAAAGAATCATATCTGGTTTAGGAGCAAAGTTACAATGCTGGCTTTATATTACTACAGAATGTGGGAACACAGTTAATGAATGTCCCATTTCACCTGACCACTACAGTCCCCTAGAATGCTGTCTCGTGCTGAAGATTACTTTACCAGGAAATAAATCAGTTTTACTCCAATGTAAATATCAGGTTTAAATTGCATAAAAACAAAAATGAATGTAAGATACCATTTAAGACTCACACTGCCACATACAAGTGATTGAAAGTAGGTTTGGGAGGGGAGAGAGGATCAGAGACCTAAACGTTTGAAACAGTTAAAAACATGCTTAGGGTTTATCTGATGAGTTTGTTTTCTTCTACTCTATCCCAACATGTTATAGATCTTTAAAAGAGAGTAGTTTTAAAGGTTTTATTCTTTAATTAATTAATTTATATTGCTTTATAATATTGTATTGATTTTGTCATACATTGACTTGAGTCTGCCATGAATGTACATGTATTCCCCATCTTGAATGCCCTTCTCACCTCCTTCCCCCCTCCCTCTGGGTAATCCCATTGCACCAGCACTGAGCCCCCTGTATCATGCATCAAACCTGGACTGGTGATTTGTTTAACATGTGATATTTTACATGTTTCAATGCCATTCTCCCATATCATCCCACCCTTGCCTTCTCCCAGAGTCCAAAAGACTGTTCAATACATCTCTGTCTCTTTTGCTGTCTCACATATAGGTTATCATTACCGTCTTTCTAAATTCCATATATATGTGTTAGGATACTGTATTGGTGTTCTTCCTTCTGGCTTACTTCACTCTGTATAATAGGCTCCAGTTTCACCCACCTCATTAGAACTGATTCAACTGTATTCTTTTTAATGGCTGAGTAATATTCCATTGTGTGTATGTACCACAGCTTTCTCATCCACTCATCTACTGAAGGACATCTAGGTTTCTTCCATGTCCTGGCTATTATAAACAGTGTCATGATGAACATTGGGGTACACATGTCTCTTTTGACTCTGGTTTCCTCGGTGTGTATGCCCAGGAGTGGGATTGCTGGGTCATATGGCAGTTCTATTTCCAGATTTTTAAGGAATCTCCACTCTGTTCTCCACAGTGTCTGTACTAGTTTGCATTCCCACCAACAGTGTAAGAGGGTTCCCTTTTCTCCGCACCCTCTCCAGCTTTTATTGCTTGTTGACTTTTGGATAGCAGCCATCCTGACTGGCATGTAATGGTACCTCATTGTGGTTTTGATTTGCATTTCTCTGATAATGAGTGATGTTGAGCATCTTTTCATGTGCTTGTTAGCCACCTGTATGTCTTCTTTGGAGAAATGTCTGTTTAATTCTTTGGCCCACTTTTTGATTGGGTCTTTTATTTTTCTGGAATTGAGCTGCAGGAGTTGCTTGTATATTTTTGAGATTAATCTTTGTCCATTGCTTCATTTGCTATTATTTTCTCCCATTCTAAAGGCTGTCTTTTCACCTTGCTTATAGTTTCCTTTGTTGTGCAGAAGCTTTTAATTTTAATTAGGTCCCATTTGTTTGTTTTTGCTATTATTTCCAATATTCTGGGAGGTGGGACATAGAGGATCCTACTGTGGTATATGTTGGAGAGTGTTTTGCCTATGTTTTCCTCTAGGAGTTTAATAGTTTCTGGTCTTACATTTAGATCTTTAATCCATTTTGAGTTTATTTTTGTGTATGGTGTTAGAAAGTGTTCTAGTTTCATTCTTTTGCAAGTGGTTGACCAGTTTTCCCAGCACCACTTGTTAAAGAGGTTGTCTTTTTTCCATTGTATATCCTTGTCTCCTTTGTCAAAGATAAGGTGTCCATAGGTATGTGGATTTATCTCTGGGCTTTCTATTTTGTTCCATTGATATATATTTCTATCTTTGTGCCAGTACCATACTGTCTTGATGACTGTGGCTTTGTAGTAGAGACTGAAGTCAGGCAGGTTGATTTCTCCAGTTCCATTCTTCTTTCTCAAGATTGCTTTGGCTATTCGAGGTTTTTTGTATTTCCATACAAATTGTGAAATTATTTGTTCTGGTTCTCAGAAAAATATTGTTGATAGCTTGATAAGGATTGCATTGAATCTATAGTTTGCTTTGCATAGTATACTCATTTCACTGTATTGATTCT